TCGTCCCTTGTCCCGCAGGCTTCCTGGAGGTGGAGCCCACTGGCAAGGAAAGATAAGTCGGCCCAGGAAAAGGATTATCCGAGATGATGCATTTGTTGGTATTTTTATAGCAAATTTGGGAGCCTTTTAAAATCACACTTGGTCGCGTTTAAATTGTGGTTCTTGGGTCTTCTGCACATGTGAAATCCTAAACGCACAGGTAAAGGCTTCAATGTCTGCCTTCAACACCTTATTAGAGTTTAATTCTGTTTGTTCGTTTGTTAATCTTCACCCGAGGATATTTTTTCCATTGATTTTTAGAGAGAGTGGGAAGGAGGGAAAGGGAGAGAGAGAGAAACATCCTTGTGAGATACACCTACCCATGCCCTTGCCAGGCCAGCATTGAACCTGCAACCCAGGTACCTGCCCTTGCCCTGGAATTGAACCCCTAACCCTTTGGTGCTCGGGGCTCACACTCTAACCACTGAACCACATGGGCCAGGGCGAAGTTCAATTCTTGTTAACCAATTTCCTCACACTCACAGGGCCATTTACACTAAAACTATATGGTTACTAGGAATCCAATGTGGAATGAGCTTACACAAATCCAAAAAGTACTTCCAATTAAAGTCAGGCCAAAACCTGGTAGTTTTCATAATTCTGAAGCCAGTAGTGTGCCTGGCACAAAGTAGATGCTCAATAATTGATTCAGTGGTCATATAATTCCTAGCTGAACAGGTACACTCTGGAAAAACTGAAAACATAACAATATAATCTGTGAAATATTATACAATGAGGTAGACCTCTGTTGCAACAGTAATCAAATGTCAACATGCTGCCAGTATGAGAGAAGCACATGTTATCCTGGGAAGTATGTTTCATTTGACGGGTAGCTTCAAAGGCAGCATGATCTCTTTGAAGGTCATCTGGTCAGAGTATTGCCTCTCAGGTTCAAGCCCAGCTCTACTATCTATTTGTCTGGCGTTGGCACTGACATCTGATGACTGTGGGCCCTAGTTTTCTCCTCCATAAAGAGAAAACCTTGGGCAGGATAATCCCCAAGTTGCTAAATTCTATTTCTATTTTTTGATGGAAACAAGAGTGCAAGATAGCAAATGACCTGGAAAGAATGATCAGGAGTAGAATAAAGAAAAAAAATAGAGAACAAATATGAAGGAGAAATGAACTTTTGAGATTACTGCCCACAGGCTTTGGTGGGAAAGAAATTCAAGAACCAGGTCACCACTTTTATCTTAAGAGCACTCACAGGGAATTTGAAGTCATTTTAACTCCTGTCGCTCTTAGGAGGAACAAGGACTAGAAGGTGAGAAAATGGAAAAACAATTCTTTCCAATAGACACTTTGTAAACTCTTAAGTCATTAGGCACATAAAATCAAACCAGCAATAATGGAGAAATACTAACATTAGCATTATCAAAACGAACATTCTGGTTGCCAAGTAATAGTGCGCAATAAGAAATCTCAAGTTTATGAAGGGTGAAACCAGGATTGATTGTACTGAGGATAAAATGAGTTATTATATGTGGAAAATGTTTTGTAAAATATTAGGTATTTATACAAGATATAAAGAAGCCAGCAGTTTTTAATGGGGCTCCTTGCAAGCAGCAACCATTTCTGTAACCTCGTTGTGTTTGTAGTACTTTGCAACACTTTTAGGAACTTAATGTATGCTTCTCCAATGAATTGTTGAAGTATCTGTAAGCATCAAGTCTCTTATTTATTTTTAAAAATATATTTTTATTAATTTCAGGGAGGAAGGAAGAGGGAGAGAGAGATAGAAACATCAATGATGAGAGAGAATCATTGATTGGCTGCCTCCCGCGCACTCCCCACTGGGGATTGAGCCCGCAACCTGGGTATGTGCCCTTGACCAGAATCGAACCTGGGACCCTTGAGTCCCCAGGTCGACGCTCTATCCACTGAGCCAAACTGGCTAGGCAAGTCTTTTATTTTTGATTAAGTATTTTTATGTAAATGTTTTCTATTGTGGTCTTCATAATGTCCTTGTCATTCTCAGGGAATATGAGAATCAATGAGTTTGGAGAAATCTATCAATACTGCATCCTACATTTATAACGATATCTGAAGAAAATAGTTAAAGTCTCTTTAAGAAGAATCTTAGAGGAAGAGGAAAGTGTCTTAGATAATGGAGGTGATTTTCAACACTTACCAGTATATGCAAAATAGCTTTCACATTTCCAAAGAGCTTCAAAGGTAAGTGACAAGGCATTTAATAGTAGTTGCTATAGTAGCAAAAGAAATATTTTGCCTCTCCCTCAAAGTGTTGCCACCACACCATACTATCTAGTTTTTGTTATCATCTGGATATTTTGTTTTATTAGGGGAAAAGTGGACAGAAAAAATAAAATTTGAGTCCTGTGGAAGAGTAAGACCAAACAGCTAAATCTGAACTGATCAGCCCTCTGGGAAGAAAGAGAAAGAATCAATAACTGCCCTGCAAACCAGTTCCAGGGCTCATTAGGAGGTAAAAGAGCAACTCTTCCTGCAGCTACAGCTCACATGAAGAGATAATATTTAACATCCAGAAGCTGCTGGCGGGCTGAAGCAACCTGGAGCTGAATACACAAACAGCTATGATTCCACAGAATAATAGACAATATATGAACAATGTAAGCAGCATACAGGAGAATGCAGAAAAGGCAAAAGTATTTCCCACAGTTAAAATGCTTTATCCACTAGTTTGTCAGCACCTGCAGACCAGACTGTGTCTCCGTGGCCCCGTTTACCACCACATCTGCACAGAGCAGGTACTCAGTACGGCAAGCTGTGTGGGAGAGCTGCCAGAACATGACTATCCAAAGCCACATCCCAAAAAATGTTAAGGGGTCTTGCACCCACTTTCCTGCTGGGCATAATCTGGTCTTTTTTCTGATTAGTTCAGTATAGTAGTCTCTTTTTCTTTGTGGGGAATATACTCTAAGACACCCCCCTCCAGTGGATACCTGAAACCTTAGATAGTACCCAACTCTATATATCCTATGTTTTTCCTATACATTCATACCGTTTCACTTAAAGGAATCGCCTTACGGCTTCTCTTTGGCACATCCGAATTGTCAGCATCACTACGTTTTGTGATGCTGAATGGCTTTGGGGCCATTCGTAAGTTCAATAAGAGTTACTTGAACACACAAACTTCGATACCACACAGTGGATCTGATAACCAAGACAGTTACTAAGTGACTAATGGGGAGGGGGAAGCGGACACAGCATGGAGACGCTGGACAAGGGGATGATTCACCTAAGGTGAGGAACAGAGCGGTACAACTTGAGATTTTATTCCGCTACTCAGAACGGTGTGCAATTTAAAACTTGTGAAGTGTTTATTTCTATTTCTAAAATTAACATTTTTGAGCTGCAATTGACTGCAGGTAACTAAAAGCACAGAAAGCAAAATTATGGGTAAGGGCAGGACTACTGGGTTGCTATTACAGGTATGTCATTATCTTTTGCCACAATGCTGTCCTTCAAGATTTCTGATGTGTGTGGGAGTAAGTTTGCCTTTTTATTGAATTCCCCCAGATTGCTATTTCTGATTGTTGCAGTTGGGGTTAACTTCTCTCAACCTCAGAGATGAGCTTTGGCCATTGATATATGTAGTATGTATTGACCTACTCTGTTCCAGGGACCGTGTAAGATTTGCTCCAGTACAGAATCAAATCATAGCATTTCAGAGCTGGGGTGAAGTTTCAAAATAATCTAATCACCCTTCAATTGAAAACATTTAAAAATAAAAAAATGAACTTATTGAAAACTCCCCTTACCGCCCAAAAGATAATCTAACCAAGCTGTTTCATCTACAAGTAGAAAGAGGAGGCTTGCAGAGAGCCTGGCCCAAGGTCACATCAAGGCTTCGTGGCAAGAGTGCCATTAGGATCTAGCTTTCCTGATTTCTTATTCACGTCTCTGGATTTCACTCCACATTATGCACAATAATAATATTTCACATTTTCATAGCACTTCAAAGGTTTCAAATCACTGTCCCCTAAATGGCTCCATCCTGCCAAAGATGAGAGTAATAATAATTATCATTGCAACTAGCACTTGCTGGCAACTTAGAGCAAACCAGTCACTATGTACGTGTTTTTGCCTCATTTCATTAGTACTCACAATAATCCTCTTACTGGGATACTATTATTTTCACTCTTTTATAGATCAGGGATGTAGGCTGGAAGGAGGTTAAATAACTTGCCCAAAGCCACGCAGCCAGGAAATGGGGCAGTTCAGAAGTTTCCTCATTGCCTGATGCCAGAGCCACAGCGAGGACCGAATCTGGCTGCCCACTGTGCCTTCCTTGCAAATGCCCTCTGGAGCAGACAAAGAAGGAATTGTACCATACATCTCAAAGCCATGCTTTGCTTGGAGTTTTAAGATTAATTTTCTAGGAATTTTACTGTAGTCCAAGCCTAGAATATAGGCACATTCCCTGAAGAAGAGAATATAGAGAAAACAGCCTCCAGTGACACTTGTGCAGTTAAGGGACAAGAGCAGGAAGAGATGTAACACATAATGAGGAGTGACTACCCTACCCCATGTAGCTGTGAGCTTGAAAATGTACTGATTTCACTTAAATTTAAAGTATAGTGTGTAAGATGAAAACTATGATTATGTAAAATAGTTTACACACACACATACACACATGAACACACGACTTTAATGAAACAATTGCTGACTAAGTTGCCTTGTTACCAGTCATGACTTGAGCAGGTACATGCAGACATTTGGGCTAAATGCTTAGCACCCAGATAGACCAATTTGGAAGCAGTGGTAACCTTGGCAATGGCTGCTGTGGCCCCCAAAACCAACCACCCGTACTTGATGCGGGGATCTATCTCTCATCTTCAACCATCATTATGGAACCAGTTTACAAGTTTGCAAGCATTCTGGCAACTTTATGAAGCCTTTCTAACCCCACCCCCAGAAAGAACCAATTCTCCCCTTTCAAATGTTCCCCCAAAGAAGTTTGTGTGAGCCTGTATTAGCTCGCTAATCTCATTGTTCAGGTGGTATTTATCTGGTTATCCCAACAGCTGAGCTGTAAGCACTGGAGATGGTTCTGATGAAGTGAAAAGAATTTAGAATCAGATATTTCTAGGTTCAATTCCTGGTTTAGCCACTTACTCAGGGTGACCTTGGGAAAGTTATTCAACCTCTCGGTGCTTCTATGAGCTCATCTGTAAAACAAGCATCATAATACCCATCTCCGGTGATGGCTGAGAATTACACAAGGTCAGTGAGTACATGGCAGCACTCAATAAATAGCAGCTCTTATGAAGACGGTTCCTGCCCTTGACCCTCTCACCATCGAGTAGAGAGAGCCACACAGATTGGCATCTAAAATGCCTGGGATATGGCCTATGACAGAGGGCTGCAAAGAGGGCTGTGAGAACACAGAGTAAAACCTACTCCATTTGGAGAGCATCGTTTCAAGAAAACCTCCCAGAGGGAGGATGAGGAAGAATCAGCCAGACAGAGGGCACAGCTAAGTTTGCCCCAGGCAAAGGAGTTCATGAGAGAGAATGTGGCATGTTCAAGGAACTGCAAGTGGTACATGATAACTGAAGTTATGGTTTGAGTTATGGTGAGGGATGAGGCTGCAGAAATTCCATGTGGTGTAGAAAGAGCATAAGTTTTAGAATCGGGCAGTGAGAAATTCCAGCTTCACCACTTTCCAGCCATATATCCTCAACCAAGGGATTTCCATCTGAGTCTCAGTTTCCCCGACTGTAAAACGATTGTGATTACATGAACTAATGTATATAAAGTGCCTAGCACAGAATACACATATCTTTTAAACAAGATAACAAGTAGGCAGGTGCGAGGTGAAGGGGAGTCAATGGGAATATAAGGCGGGGGAGGGGGGAGATCTGTAATACATTCAACAATA